TGCGCGGCAAACATTACCGCGTCCTGTGTGCAGAAGCCATCAGCCATAGAGTGGTTGCTTACGATATCGAGTGCATAGCGAGTGAGAACTGGATCTGAGACAATAGTACATATTGCCATCTGTAACTAATATATTCTATGGCTGTTCTTGCTCTGCTCTGTTCTGTCTTTTATCCACAGAAACAATATGATTGCGTAAGTACATCAAGGGCCAAGGCATCAATCATGAACCTTTTCACATGAAAACTCTGGATTTTCTCAATTATTTAATATTTTTAATATTTTTAATATTTTTTTAGTATGTGAAACTATGAGAAGTGAATTTTGTACTTGAATGCGATCGTAAATCCTTTCCTCCAATGTAAACTTGTGAAAAGTGTACATTTCCATATATTTTCAAAATTACATTTTTCACTTTTCACTTTTCACGAGTTCACATTAGGTGAAAAGATTCATGAGCGATCCTCTAGCCACAAAGATTATCGCAATTGTTTCCGACAGTATCGTAGACGTAAGTCGTTGTCGGAAGTCAACGCACAAGGATTGACGTAGACGATGCTACATCAATTGTGTCGTCCGACGCAGTCATATTGTTCCTGTGGATAAAAGACAGAACAGAGCAAAGAAAGAGTAGCCATAAAATATATTAGTTGTAGATGGGAATAGATACTACTTCCTCTCACTCGCTCTGCACTCGATATCGTAAGCACCCAGTGACTCTAGTACGGATGGGACCCGATTGACTATAGATTTGTTCAAGTTGCTTGTACTTTTCACACTTTTACACCTAATGCCCGTTGCACACTAGTGCACTCCAAACAACACAAATTTTCAAAAATACATTCTGAAGACGTTTTCAGGACGGAGGGACGTCATCGGAATATTCTTAGGACGTCCTTTGAAAGTGTGAATTATTTGAAAATAGCTAATATCCAATAAGTTTATTCACATTAATTGAATTTTTTACACTTTCACACTTAGTGCACATTAATTCTTTAGAAGTTCTAAAAATATATATTATAGAGATATCCTAAAAATATATTTAGGATATGTGATATCTTCAAGATATCCTTATGATATATTTGGGACATTCTGTGTGGGACATGCT